TGACATTCAATTTTCAAGTGGTACCCCTAAATAAATGCATATGGTCATGCTCTGAATTCGAGTACTGTCAATTCGGCTAACTGAATGTCACATTATGCAAACAGTAGATTCCAGCTTGCTAAACATTAATAATAAACTTTGTTTCAAAAGGAAAAAAGGAAAATCAATAAGTAAGTTAAAGATAAGAGGAAACAAGAACACTTGCTTAATTCATTGTCACTTGGCTGCAGGCTTGCATATACAAAGAAATAGCATGGTCCTAACAATATAATTGTTCTTATTATGGGTTAGTATATGCTGGATAGAATGATGTAATATGTAACTTAAAAATCTAACCAAATCAACCTGGCACTTTGGGGAGCCGAGGCTGGAGGATAACTTGAGGTCAGGAGTTTGAGACCAGCCTGAACAAGAGTGAGACCCCCCACCATCTCTACCAAGATAGAAAAAAATTAGCCAGGTGTGGTGGCGTGCACACCTGTAGTCCCAGCTAGTCGGGAGGCTGAGGCAGGAGGATCGCTTGAGCCTAGGAGTTTGAGGTTGCTGTGAGCTAGGCTGATGCCACAGCACTCTACCTGGGGCGACAGAGTGAGATTCTGTCTCAAAAATAAATAAATAAATGTGAAAAAAAAATAGACCATTTGATTTGGTTAGATGTTGTTTTGTTTTTATTTTTTCTGAGAGTCTCAAAGACTCTGAGTGCAGTGGCATCACTTTAAATTTCAAATGCTCCAGACTGAATTTATTATTTACACTGACCAATTGTTATCTGTCTAGTATCGTGCCAAAGATATCAAGAAAGTCTCTCTCCTATTTGGCTTTAATGTTTTAAACAAAGTTGAAACCAACTGTTTTTATTTTTTTTATTTTTTTTGAGACAGAGTCTCACTCTGTTGTCCAGGCTAGAGTGCTGTGGCGTCAGCCTAGCTCACAGCAACCGCAAACTCCTGGGCTCAAGCAATCTTCCTGCCTCAGCCTCCCAAGTAGCTGGGACTATGGCACATGCCACCACGCCCGGCTAATTTTTTCTATTTTTAGTTGTCCAGCTAATTTCATTCTATTTTTAGTAGAGATGGTCTCGCTCTTGCTCAGGCTGGTCTAGAACTCTTAAGCTCAAGCGATCCTCCCGCTTCAGCCTCCCAGAGCGCTAGGATTACAGGCGTGAGCCACCGCACCCGGCCTAAACCAACTGTTTTATATACTTAAGCCAATGTTTTATATACTTAAATACATTCATAAGTAGTATGTTTTTTGGTGTCGTATCAGTTTCATTCCTTCCAAGGATATCAATTTCACTTAGTCTCTCATCGAGGAAGGGACTTGCTTTCCAACATTAAGTTCAGAATTGTTTGTTTGGAACTCAAGCTCATTTCCCCCACAGAAATCATAAGTGGTTATTAGGTTCCCTGCTTAGCTTAAAAAGGAGCCAATTTAAGCTATAATGCACAAAAGGGTCAGTTCCAACATAATATGTAAATTAGAACCAAATTGTCACCGATAGAAATGTTGCTATGGATAAATTATCTCCAGTGTTCCAATCTGAGAACTCAGGCACATACCTTGTTTCCTCAATCTCCTCCTTTTCCCAACCCCTCAACTCATAGCTACTCATTTCCATATCCTAGAGGAGTCAAATACTTCTCACTTTTTCTACTCCCAAACCCTGGAACGGTAGTGTACTAAACTGAAGGGCAGAGCTCGCAGTGCTAGGATATAGTTACATAACTATATAGTACAACCCTCAGGTACCCAACCCCCATGTTACGGACTGGTACTGGTCCGTGGGCGGTAGAGACCAGGCCGCAGAGCTCCCCGACACCCACCCACCCACCCATGGAAAAACTGTCTTCCATGAAACCAGTCCCTGGTGCCCAAAAGGTTGGGGACCACTGCAAACCAATGCTTAAGAGTGAGGAGGACAGGCAGAATTAAGAAAAGAAGGTTCATATGCGGCTGTGTGTACATAAGATAAATTGCAGTTGTGTTCACATACACTCCTTCCCCCATATTACTTCCCCACTCCATCAGTACTAGGCTTGGACATGTGACTAGCTTTAAGCAATGGAATGTAACTGGACATTATATATGCCACATCCAAGCAGAAACTTTAATATCACTTAGGGAATCTATCTTGGTCTCTTGTGCACCTGCCCTCAGCCTTAGAAAGAGGAAAAAAACACTGAGATTTGAGAGTTGTTTGTGGTAGCAAAAGTTGGTTGATTTAGGAATTTCTTTGCATCCAATTTCCCTTGCAATGTTATCTGTCTGCAACTACAGACCTTATAGCTCATCAACTGGTACTAGAGTGAGGTCAGAAATGGTGACAAAAGCTAGAAATACAGCAAGGGTAGGCAATGTTACAGTCTAAAGAATTACATAAAATGGGCCAGGCGCGGTGGCTCATGCCTGTAATCCTAGCACTCTGGGAGGCCAAGGTGGGTGGATCGCTTGAGCTCAGGAGTTCGAGACTAGCCTGAGCAAGAGCAAGACCTCGTCTCTACTAAAAAATAGAAAGAAATTAATTGGACAGCTAAAAATATATAGAAAAAATTAGCCGGGCATGGTGGCGTATGCCTGTAGTCCCAGCTACCCGGGAGGCTGAGGCAGTAGGATTGCTTGAGCCCAGGAGTTTGAGGTTGCTGTGAGCTAGGCTGACGCCACAGCACTCTAGCCCGGGCAACAGAGTGAGACTCTGTCTCAAAAAAAAAAAAAAAAAGAATTACATAAAATGTTGTCTATATTACCCTCATCTCTTGGCTGGACTACTTTAATAGCCTTCCCATCCCTCCCCATTCTGTGGGGAACATGGACTACTATGCTTTTGTCTTCACATAGTACACTGATCCTCTAAAAATATAAACCAGATCATGTTATTCTCCTGCCCAATCATGAGGGGGTTTTGTAGGTCATAGTATGGAATTTGAGTTTCATGATGAAAACGAAAAAACTCCATAAGTAATAAAATGGAAAAATGAAAACTGTGACAAGGTAAGGTCAGTTACCAGAGTCAAGTTATTTCCCTAAATCTTTAGTGAGTCTTAAGTAAACTATGGTAGTACAAAATACCATTTAATGCCCCAAATAATGGCACTTTCATAAAAAAATTAAACTATGGGCCAAGCACAGCAGCTTAAACCTCTAATCTCAGTGCTTTGGGAGGCTAAGGCAGGAGGATTACTTGAGGCCAGCTCAATACTAGCCTGGGAAACATAGTGAGACCCTGTCTCAACAAAAAAAAATTAAAAATTAGCCAGGCATCGTGGCATGTGCCTGTAAGTCCTAGCTACTCAGGAGGCGGAAGTGGGAGGATGGCTTGAGCCCAGGAGTTTGGGGTTACAGTGAGCTACAACTGTGCCACTGTATTCCAGCCTGGGTGGCAGATCAAGACCCTGTCTCTAAAAAAAAAATTAAACCATGTCTCAGTGTGCTCAGTTTATAGTAATAGTGAAGAACATAACCCCTTTAAATAACATTTATGTTTAAGACGGCTAAAATTTCACTGAAATTTTAGGAATACTCAAGATAGTAAGGACACATTCTCCAAAGGCTTTGTGTAGATTAACAATAAACACTATTACATGAAGTACAACCAACCAAGTATGTAAGGCTTCCATGGAAAATGCACCACAAGTTCAATTCAGTCATTTTTCTTCTCATCATCTCCAATGTGTAGGGTTTCTAGCATATATAAGAGATATTTTATATAATTTATAGGATATTTTATATGGTACATATATATATACAATCCCTGCTTGCAAGGATCTTGCAATCTTTTGGAGGACTCAGACATGCAAACACTAAGAAATGTCAGGAATACTCCTCTTTACTAGCATAGAACTAGAGATTATTTTTCTACACTGAAGCAGGCATAGGGCTAGATTGCAACAGCTCTTAAGGGGGAGTAGATGCCCCTAAGCATAGTAACTTGTTAACTTCTAACACCTGCAAAGAGAATGCACCTTTCTTTCTCAGTTATGATATTCTGCATAAATGAATAAAGAATGTTATAATTAAGTGTCCAAACAATACAGGGGCTCTGAAAATAACTTCTCTGATGCCAGTTTCTTCAAAGGTGATTCCTATGTCAGATGTTTGTAAATTGGAGGGTTGTACGTGTTTTTTATTAATGGGTAATCCCAAAATGTAGTTTCTGCACATTAAAAAAAATGTGACATACAAAACTGGAAGGGTTTCAAATTTAGTTTTATTTTTTTAAATAAAGAGCTGTAATTCTTTCATACAGCACCTCGATAAATGTAGTATTTTGTCCAAATATAAGTCACTTCATAGGTACATGTTGATATTGGGAACGGGGGAGTGGAGGGAAGGGATGGATTAGAATCACTCTTTAAAGGACTCAATATAATAAAAAGACAAAAATACTGGCCAGGAGAAGTGGCTCATCCTTGAAATTCTAGCACTCTGGGAGGCCAAGGCAGGAGGACCACTTGAGGTCAGGAGTTTAAGACCAGCCTGACCAAGAGGGAGACCCCATCTCTACAAAAATAGGAAACTTAGCCAGGGTGTGGTGGTACACTCCTGTAGTCCCAGCTACTCAAGAGGCTGAGGCAGGAGGATCGCTGGACCCAGGAGTTTGAGGCTGCATTGAGCTACACTGCACTCTACCCAGGGTGACACAGTGAGACTCTGTTAAAAAAAAAAAAAACAACAAAAAAACCAAAAAAAAACCATGACACTATCTCTTTGACATTACTGAATATACAAGAATAGGGCAAAGGAAAATGAGTAAACAAAAACAAAATGTCATATAGGCATGAGCTGGAAAGAAAAAAATTGTGACTAAATTAAACTTTCAAATATCTTGATTCACAGCTAGAAAATGTAGAGCAAGATTATTTTTTAAAAGAATCAATAAGTTTGAAAATTTGGATAACAGATATTATATAAAGAAAACTGACAAAAAAGTTTAAAGATTTTTAAATAGGCAAATATTACATACACAACCCTCCCACACACACAAAATTAGCATTCAGACTTACCGTAACAGGAGTTCTTTGGGAAGTTTTTTATTGATTACAGCTTCATCGCTATTTGAGAACATCTGCAAAAACAAAATCATATGTCAAGTGTTACTCAACAGTTTTCTCTTAAGAAAGAGGTGAAAAAGAATAGTCGGTGTTATAAACCAAAGTCACATTTTTAGAGACTCTTTAGGTTGAAAAAGATCTTTGAGGTTTTTAGTTCATTCCCTATCTTCAGAGAAAAAGACTTAATAGCAGTCAGAAGGATGACATTATGTGTCAGGTACTGTTTTAAGTGTTTCATGTGTTAATATTTTTAATCCTTGTATTATCCCTATTGTCTTCACTTTACAGATAAGAAAACTAAGTTACAAAAGGTTTACTGAAGGTCACACCACTATGGAGTGACCATTTTAAAATGCCATTAGGATTAGGTGACTCCCCAAACCTGGCCCACATTTACTTGTTCAAGGAGGTGTTCAGAAATCTGGTCTAGGGAACATGCTCTTTCGTGCTTTACATATCATGCAGAAAACCAATAATGCTTTATAATCACCACCATATCATTCTTGATGTCCTGAAGTAATCATTAACAAATTCATCAAATTACTCACAATGGATACTTTGAAACAGAGCCACCACTTCTTCCACAAAGGAGATCATGACTGTAAGCTTGCCTAGTAAGCTATGTGAAAAAAAACAAATACCCATACCCAATAAAAAGCACAATAAAAATAACAAATACACACATCACTGAAAATGAAAGAAGTATGCTCAGTTCCTACTATTAAGTATTACAGAAATTCCTCCTGACTTCATGCAATGATCATTACTGAATAGCCTTTAAATATCAGGCACTTTTCTAGGCAATGGGATTTAAAAAAAAAATAAGACATCTCTGTCCTTAAGGGGCCCTTACTCTACAATGAAGAAGACAGAAATAAGCAAATAATTTACTCATTATTAGAGACAGACTGACAAAAGGTATATGAGAACAAAGGATGGAACTAAATTCTGCCTGCAGGTATATCTAATTTGGGACTTAAAGGAAGGCCAAAAATTAAATAGGAAAAAAGGGGGACATAATATATACAAAATAAGAGATTCATACATGAAGGTCCTGGTATTTCACGGGTATTCAAAGTAGAAGAGGGGAAGCAGAAGGGGCAGGGGAGCAGTGGACAGAATGTATTCCCCCTCAATCTCAGACATCAAGAGTAATTATAATAAATATTTTCCAATAATTACAATAACCTATCTTCCAGCTAAATGGAAAGTTCTGTAAGGGCAGGGAACATGCCTGTCATATCTGCCATATTTCTAGGATTGAGCATAGAGTCTGATATATGATAGCAACTTAAATCTAATGACCAAATTGTCTTTTGGGTTTTTTTTTTTTTTTTTTTTTTGAGACAGGGTCTCCCTCTGTCATCCAGGCTAAAGTGCAGCGGTACCGTCATAGTTTACTGCAGCCTCAAACTCCTGGGCTCAAGTGATCCTCCCGCCTCGCCTCCCAAAGCACCGGGATTACAGGCGTGAGAGACTATTGTCTGGCCTAAATTATTAAATGGATTGTGGGGCTAGATTCCAAAGGAAACTTGTATACTAAGCTAGAAATCTGAAACAACTCCCCAGGGAATAAATTAGAACCAAATTCTAAAAAACCTAAAAGTATTAAACTCTGCACTGGTAGCAAAGAAATAAATTTGGAATCCACTGAAATCATAATCTAGGTAAAAGATGATGCAAGCCTCTGTAAGATTACAGGGATGGTGGGAATAAAGAAAAGAAACTGGAATCAAGAAGGATTTTTAAAGCAACAATATTTGGTGACAGGAAGTTGGATCATTTAGCAAGATTCAGTATGACAGGTGGACTATAGAAGTAATGCTGTTGATTGATAATTACAATTTTTTAGAAAAGTATCTTATACCAAGCAATAACCTGCTTTTCCCTGTAACATTTGCCCATTGATGGAAGCTACGTAAAAAAACAAAAAATCCAATCTCTCGTCTATAAGGCAGTCTTTCAAAAGAAACCAACACATTTTCTCCTAAACAAACTAAGGTTCTTCTAATGTTGTCAAAGCACTGTAATCCTAGCACTCTGGGAGGCCGAGGCGGGCGGATTATTTGAGCTCAGGAGTTAGAGACCAGCCTGGGCAAGAGCAAGACCCCGTCTCTACTAAAAATAGAAAGAAATTAATCAGACAACTAAAAATATATAGAAAAAATTAGCTGGGCATGGTGGCACATGCCTGTAGTCCCAGCTACTCGAGAGGCTGAGGCAGAAGGATTGCTTGAGCCCAGGAGTTTGAGGTTGCTGTGAGCTAGGCTAACACCACAGCACTCTAGCCCGGGCAAAAGAGTGAGACTCTGTCTCAAAAAAAATAAATAAAATTGCTATATGTTGTTCACATGACTTCTACACCTCCACATATAAAACAAAGAAACTCTGTCTCAAAAAAAAAAAAAATCACAGCAGCTAATTTCGTACCTTGCTTTCGTCTGTATTCTGTATTTTAACAAGACCTTTAGGTGATACTAATGCACCATAAAGTTTGAGAACCCATGGACTAGATAAAGTAGATTGAGGATCTCAGGATATAAGAAATTATAGTTCTAACACATAATCAGAATATTTTATTATCATTTGAAGTGATATAGCAATGGAGTTTGGAAAATAATCCCAGTTTAGTGTGCTCATTGAGACATAGAGAAAAAAAACAACAGAAAATAATCTCAGAGGTAGACAGAATAACACTAGATGTTTTCTAGGAAACCCAAACAGCTTCTGCTCCTGTTCACACTATTATGTGTAAAACAAGTATTTCACAGAAGCAACAGAATATATCTGTTTTAGATATTTTACTATTTGAGCTGAATCTAAACTCTAGGTTTCTCATGCAAATATAAACGGTGCCAAAACAATTTAGATCAAGGCTATAATGAATCACAACAAATTTGTGAAGGGTTTTATATACAATAGTTGTAGAAATAACTACTGTTCAAACTTTTGACGTCCTTAGCTAATCTGATTTTGTGCTGACACAGGTTTTACCATAATGTATTTTTATAATCTATCTATAAACAATTACAAGGAGTGCTCAGGGGAAAAACATGAGAGCAACTAGATTGTTTTCTCCTTATTCTTTCAAGGAAAGACAATATCACCTAAACAAGCAAGCAGACACTGCAACAGCCACGTCTTCTAGGAGTAGGACTTTCTTAAATATTCAGGTTTTTAAAAAGCTAAGCTATTTGGTTTGTACACATTAGCACAGATTTTTAATTTGTATAAAACTGTAATTATTTTTCTATAAATTACATATCTGAGGAACATATAACTTTGAAACCACTTGTCCCAAATTGGAATTAAATCATCTAATAGACTTCCTGAATATTAAGCAACTTTTTTTTTGTTTTTTGCTATTACTTTAGTCTTTCCAATCATTTTTTAAATCTCAGTTGGGCACATTTTGGGGATTAGTTTACTAACATAATGATTTTAATTTAAATGTTTAAGACACAAACAAGACCCAAGAAATCATTTTAGGAGGCTTTAAAGCCAGAATCTGGGTAGAAAAGGGCAAATAGACTGAACAAAGAAAATATGAAAGAGGCCCGGTACAGTGGCTCACGCCAGTAATCCCAGCACATTGGGAGGTGAAGGTGGGAGGATCACTTGAGGTCAGGAATTCGAGAGCAGCCTAGGTAACACAGTGAGATCCCATGTTGAGGAGAGGAGAGGAGAGGAGAAGAGAGGAGGGGAGGGGAGGGGAGAGGAGAGGAGGGGAGAGGAGAGGAGGGGAGGGGAGAGGAGAGGAGGGGAGGGGAGGGGGGGAAGGAAGGAAGAAGGGAGAAGAAAAAGAAAGGAAGAAAGAAAAATTAGCCCTGCCACGCGTAGTGGCACACACCTGTAGTTCCAGCTACTTGGGAGGCTGAGGCAGGAAGATCCCTTGAGCCCAGAAATTCGAGGTTGCAGTGAGCTATGATTATGCCATAGCACTCCAGCCAGGGAGAGAAAGTAGAACTTTGGCCAAAAAAAAAAAAAAA